CGTTATTTTCAAAATTTTGTTTATGAGCTGCTTTTAACTAGGAATGAAGGATGAAATTGAGATTTTTTTTTTTAATTAGAAAAGGAGTAAGAGGTGTATGATGAAGCAAAATAGTGTTTTCAATATATTGCATTCTGAAAGTATTTGAGGAAGAAGGAATTGAAATAACCATTAAAGAAATTAAGAACCCGGAACTGTTAGAGATTTTTTAAATTTATTTTCTATTGTTGACAAGGAGATAGATGCAATCATACAAAGCAGACAATATTCCATCACTGAAAAAACAGATTCAATAGGAGTTCACAATAAGGCGCATCTTTAGTAGGTTTAGAATACCATTTTTATTTTTATTATTATTATTATTTTTTGAGATTTTCATTACAATTTGAACTTGTGCTCACTAACTGCGTTTTTTATGGTCGATCTGTCGTATTTTGAATAAAATGATCTGATCCCGTTGTATAGATATTTGATATGGCGATTTGACCTCCTTCAGGGATAGTAGTCAGTTAACCAGTAGTTGTATTCCGAGGCTATGTTGCTATATGGTTAGTAGGTTTAATTGTGTAAAGCGTGGCATTCGAGTTAAGGTAAGTAACCTAGTTTGAAATTTGCTGGGTTTTTTGGTTTGGGTAAGAATTTTTTTATTTTTTATTTTTATATACTGTGAATGAGAAAGGAAGGATAAGCATATGGAAGCGAAATAGTGTTTTTCAAATCATGGTTTCTATCATTGTTTCAGAACGTAAGAAGTTCCCATCAAAGAAATTGAAAATCCAGAAGTGTTCAAGAAATTTTGATATAATTCTTAATCTTGAAACAAGATAAGATGCAAAGATGATCGTATTCCATCAAATAATTCAATAGGAGTTTACTGTAAGAAGCATTTACTGGGGTTACAATTTTATTTGAGTTTGTTCGATGTATTGTTTGGTTTTGCAAAGCAGATGCATTACAATTTGCTTAAGTATAAACTTGTGCTTCAATCTGCATATATCTATGGTTTTGCTTGTTCTCTTCTAAATTTATTGTAATGTTTTGCCTGTTATATAGGTATTCAATATGCTAGGATCATCATCTGAGGATAGTTATTAATTATCCCAGACGTTATATTCTGAGTCTCCATGTTGCCAGATGGTTAGTAGGGGTTATGGATTGTGTAAAGACTGGCACCCGAGTTAAGGGTAAGTTACCTATTTTGTAATTCACTATGTTGGCCTTGTAATGTTCTGTATATTTTTGGCATACAAGGAATAATTAGGTAAAATTGTGTGTGCTTGCCTCTTGTTAGTCTTTTTCTGTCTTTATTAAGAAACTGCTTGAAGTATGTCTCTTAGAATTTTAGTTTGTGTCAAGGCTAAGGGCCATGAGAATTAGTTAGTATTACTACCTCTTTTTTGGCATCACCTAGTTCATTCATTAAAGTGCATCTAGAATATGAGCTTATGCCATCTTTTGTTTCCATCTCTTTCTCTTCCTAAACTTGGGGTATCTCTTGGGAATTTCTTTGCTTGGATGGGGCGGTTTCCAAGTCTAAGTTCAATAGGCATTCAACGCTGTTGTATCTGTGTCCATATGCTAGTGATATATGCTGGTAATTCACCTGAATATGCAATGAAAGCATTTCAATAATAATCTGGAGAAATGGTTTTCTTACCGTTCTTTAAGTATAAGTCCCTTATAATGATTGCGTTCTATTATATTTGACTCTAAACATCTAAATTTCAGTAAAAGGAATGCACCAGAGGTTGTATATGAGGGTTATCTATCAAAAAATTTAAATATGTTTTGATTCTAAAGGAATGTTATGTGGTATTGCTATTGCAGGTTCTTTCTTCCGTCAGTTACTAATTTATGCTATCTGGTTGTCTGCCTCTCATAATGTGCTGGCACTGCATACACTCCCAGAGCCTAGTCGCATTTCTCTTTCATCTGTGCTTGCTAGCCCACCCAAAAGTGGAATATTTGAACCCATAGAAATATCACCTGCTGTAATTCCACATCTTCCTTCTCCCGAGTATTCTTTCCCACCAATGTATCCAACTTTTCCAACTGCATATGTTCCAGTCCTGACTGGAAGGTGCCATGTAGATTTCTCCGCCATTTCAAGTATCATGGACAAAACAGCATCTGACTGTAATCTACCTTTGGCAGCAGTTGTAGGAAATGTTATATGCTGCCCACAATTTAGTAGCTTGCTCCATATATTCCAGGGATTTTACAGCACCAGTTCCAATAATTTAGTTTTACAAAATGCAGTTGCTGATGATTGTTTTAAAGATATTGTCAGTATACTTGCTAGCAGAGGAGCAAACAGCTCAATACCAACCATCTGTTCTGTAAAATCTTCAAATCTTACTGGTGGTTCTTGTCCTGTGAAGGACATAGCCACTTTCGAGAAAACAGTGAACACAAGCAAATTACTGGAGGCTTGCAGTAAAGTTGATCCTCTTAAAGAATGCTGCAGATCAATTTGTCAGCCTGCAATTATGGAGGCTGCACTTAAGATCTCAGGAACTCAGTCATTAATTGACAATAAGAATATAATTGGACCAGCAAATCATTTTGACACGCTTAATGATTGTAAAGGCGTGGTTTATTCTTGGATCTCACAGAAACTCCCTCATGATTCTGCAAATAAAGCATTTCGAATATTGTCTGCCTGCAAGGTTAATAAAGGTGTGTGCTTTTATTTTTTAATGCACCTGCTATAGGCTTGTTATATACCTTGAATTCAAAACATTTTGATTCTTCAGCCATGTCCTTACCTTCATTTTTTGCCCTATGGTACAGCACTCTATACTTGATTTGCAAGGATCTCAACTTGATCTGAATAAAATGATTCAATAAAAAGTCCTCTATGTGTTCTACATTTTTTAAGGAATAAAACCTATGACTTGTATAGTTGCCTTAAGTGTTGTTGGATGATTGGATCATGTTTTAACCGTTTTTAGAAAGTGAAGTTGAGATTTAGGGAATTTTAAATTGGAAAAAAAACTATTTTCTTTGAACTTAAAAAGAGAGTGAATTTCCAAAACGAGTTTCTTGCTGTGTTGGTTTTAAGGTGATTTTTAATGAACAGATATTGTTCCTTGAATTTCTTAGTTTTACAACATTTAGGTATGAGCCTTATTATGCGGCAGATCAATCTGCTGGCACTTTTGAATCCCCTGGCCTCTTGTGTAGAATTTTATCACCTATCATAAAAGAAGAATTGGAGTGGATATGGAAATCTGAGCACTATATCTGAACTACTTAGGTATTTATTTTAGTAAAGATGTATTAATCTGTGATCTAAATGATTGTCTCGTGGGATGCAGTTTGTCCTTTGGACTTAAGGCAGCCATCAGAAGTAATTCAAGAATGCAGAAATGTCGCTGCTCCCAGTCCTTCATGCTGTAGTTCATTAAATACTTACATAGCGAGTGTGCAAAGGCAAATGTTAATAACGAATCGGCAAGCAATTATGTGCGCTACTGTAATTGGGTCCATGCTACAAAAGGCTGGGGTGATTACTAATGTTTATGAGCTTTGTGATGTGGACTTGAAAGATTTTAGTCTCCAGAGTGAGTATTTGATTTATGATTTCAATCTGGAATATTTGATTTGAAGTTATAAATTTCTCTGATCTGGTATTCTCTTCTCTCTCTGTTTCAAGATGGTGCAGCATATGGACAAGAAGGTACTCTCTTAATCCACTCTGACCTCTTTCGTTGAATCTTCCTTTTTTGGTGCTTTATACATAGATTTCCGTTCTTCTAGGATGCGATTCCATTTATTTGGTTGCGAAGCCTTAAATTTTTCAACTTCTCTTTTGCTTTGACTTGAAGATGTCGGCATGTCCTCATTGTTTTACATAGTTTTAGCTGGTTGGGACATTCTTCTTGAACTTTTGAGTTTATTCTGTATATGGTATCTAGGTATACTAAGTGGTAAAGATTGGGTAACACTTCTATTACCCTGATAGGCACCTCTCTGCGAGCTTATCGATCCTGTTTGATGAGATCTTAAGAAGTCTATGAAAAAATCCGATTGCCTAATTACTGATTTAGTCACAACTCAGTAGTCAAAGTACTTTCATATGCTTCAGTTGCCTCCGTTTGTCTGTCAAAAATTGCCATCACTAGACTATTATTTGTCGGAGTCTAGTCTCTGTGTTGTATGATGTACTAGCATTTCTTTTCGTGTTGCCGAGCCTTATGTCTCTAAGCATCTTTGCTCAAAATTACTGTATTATTTTTGGGATTCTGCTGCTTTATATATTTGACTAGAGAAATGCAAGCTTTGGTCGGATATCTCGTGCAAAATCCTGCCATTTGGCAAATTTGGCATTTTTAGGTGTTGGTTTGATCCAGGGCTGAACCATTTGCGTTATAGTTAGTCAGAAGATTACATTCTAATATAAACCTGTTTTGTCTAGCTATAAAAATTAATTTGTTGTCTTTAAGCCCTTGTTTGATCCCCACTCTTTCCAAAATACCTTTTTACTATCTTCTTTTCAATCATACATTCTTTAATAAAATAGTATTATACGCAAATCCAAAACTTTTCCTTAATTTTTAACCACACATTCTCCATCAATCTTCAATTCCACATGCATTTTTAGCCATAAAAATTAGGCTCAAACAGGCGCTAAATATCATTACACAATAAAATGCAGTAAATAATCTTTTATTACTTAAATTGATAATGTCAAGAAATTGACTTTAGTCCATGATAATTGACCTTCTAAAATTAGTTCAGATTGATTCCGCCTTGGACTACATTTGAAGTATTAACATGTTTTAGCTTCTGAGTAACTGTAAATCTATTTTAGGGCTTATAATTTGTGAAACTAGATACAGGTTATTTGAGACATACACTTGCTTACTAGGATTGTTATGACATTTGCCAACCACTCCTAGGTCTAGACTTATCTGCAATGCCATGTTGGAATCTTGTACTTTAATGTAATATGTTTTTTTTTTTTTCTCATGTAGATTAAGTGGTGGTACTTCTAGTAGTTCATTACTAAAGACTGATAATTTTTTACACCCAAATGTAGGGTGTTTACTAGGAAGCCTGCCTGTAGATATGGTGTATGATAATTCATCAGGCTTGAGCTTTACATGTGATCTAAGCGACAATATTGCTGCTCCATGGCCCTCATCGTCATCTTTCACATCATTCTCTCTTTGCGCGCCTGGTAATTGATTTTGAATATCATTTATTGCTGTTCACTTGTTTTCACATAATTCTGTTGGGTTCTAAAGAGAAATTGGACTTGAAAGTAGTTTATAACTAAAGATGCACAATTGGTACTTTGATAAATGTTTAAATGGCCATACACTGACGACTTGTACTTAAACTTGCAGAGATGTCCTTGCCTGCATTACCAACATCGGAATCTTCAGGTAAACCTTGCTCTTTATATGGTTTTATTACCATTCTGTGAAATTAATGTTAGTATATTTCAGCCTGTTTATAATTCGATGGACATTAAATCAGCAGTTATATGTTTCTGTTTTTTTCTGTCCATAACCTACTTTCTTCTCTCTAATGCTTCCCATTAAATCTTGGTGCATTCGGGTTGGTCTATTTAGAGCATGCTTGGGAGTGCTTTTTAGTGGTTACAAGTTGTGGGTCATATGAAATGTATAGACAAAAAAATTGTTTAACCAGCTTAGACTATAATTCAAGTTTCGCCAAAATGCACTTGTTTTATCATAACAAAAGCTTCTTGTTATATTGCTCAAGCTGTGGTTATCTGATACTTGGTCTCTATCCTTCCTTCGACTGCTTTCCATGTTCTCAAGATTAAATTGGTTCTTTTCTTTAGTATGGTCGATTTTTAACACAATCGTTAGTTGATATGTTTCTTGTGGATAACTTGATGATTGTGTTATTGTATAACGCAGGTTGTGATAGGGATGATGTGGATTTCTTTGTACCCATTTTTTCTGTATTTGTCTTCGGTTCATTGCTGTTATAGAGAGATTCTGCTGAGCGCCAACACCTGTTTGAGTTAGTGGGCTTTAGATCGAATGAGAGCGTATGACATGTATATTTTGAGCGTCTTCCTTTGTGTATAGTAGCCTTTTTTCTTTAATGACTTCTACTGGTTTTATTTTATGATTAATTTCAATTTTCAAGTTAACTAATAATATTGTGTTGCATTGGGATTTAAATCCATCATCACTATCAAGGCGTGTTTGCCTTAGGGATGGTAATGGGGTTGGTATGAGATGGATTGGCCATTCTTGTTTAGGAATGGCAATTTACCCAGCCCAGCCCCGCCCCGAACGAGTTGGTGGGGCTGGGCAAGGAGGGGCGCCCCATCGTGGGGCACGGGCTTCCCCGTCCCGTGAAGAAAAAAATAAAATTAAAAAATTAAAAATAATTTTATTTCTAAACAATTTACTTGTTAAAAATTTATTTTGAATTTGTATTTTATTTTCTAATAATAATGTAATTTGAAACTTTCAAAAAAAAAATGAATAATAAAAAATTAAATGGACAATAAATGGGGCAAAAAGTTGTCCCGTCCCCACCCCATCTAAGGTGCGGGACGTGGGGTGGTGTTTATGCCAAGCGGGCAGGGGTGGGATCGCTCCGTCCTGAACTCGTTCCGTTGCCATCACTATTCTTTTTCCTCGTTCTATCGGGTGTAATTCTCACTTTGTCCCACCCTCTTACCTAGGTAAAATGGGACGGAGGTGGGTGGATCTACTGATTGTGGATCCCAATCACAAGAAAGATACCTAAGAAATTTTCATACTTGTGGGGTTGATTTTTTATGAATCAAATGATGATTCATTGGTCATTTATCGTGTTTTTTGGGTGCGCGCGCATATGGGGTAGGTATGGGACATTGGTCAAGCAAAGACTAATGATATTAAAGGAGGCTAAGTTTTCAATTGGTATTGACCTTCTGAATTTAATTTAATGGAGAATTTGAGTTAAAAGTGGTTGGAAGAATTTTGTGCAAAAGCAATAAACGGGGCTTCTACTAATGAATTTAGAGCAAAGATACTTTTAAAAATATTGTAAAAATTCATTTATTTTTATTTTCAAAAGAGTAACCTTTCGTACTAATATTCTTACCCTTTTGTACAAGTATTCTTAAAGAAATATAACCGAGTTGGGTGTACAGGTCTAGCTCTCACAGACCCTTTTACAGGAGTCTCACGTGTTAGGTCATCTTTTTTTTTTTTTTTTTTTCCCCCTTTCTATTGCACTGGGCCCCTCATGGGGTCGACCCATGTGAGGGGTCTATAATTCCCCTGTGAATATTTTCCTTGTACACAGGGATTTATTCAAAGAAATAACAATGTTTGACTCTCAATTCAGCTCAACAATTTGTCTATCAACATTAAAATATTCAATCATGTTACTTGTATTATCTTTTCTTACAATTTTGGTTGACAGTCATACTTATCAACATCACATTCATCCATTTCAAAAACTGTTCTTAAAATTAATGGTTCGAAATTTGACAACATCAACATTGTCAAGTATGATTGTACAACTAAATTAATTCTAAAACATTTTGACGTATGAATTAAATGGCGAAGTGTGTATTTCAAATTGAATTACATTTTATCTTTCTTAGACGTCTCTTTATATGAGCATATCCTTGTGCCGTATAAGATGAATTTTGATCAAGTTTCCACGATATCAACAAATTCAATTGTTGAAACAGATCAAGCAACTTCCTTTTATTTATATTAAATATAAATAAATAAGAAGTTATTCCATATCAAATTATCGAGTGTTGAAATGTACAACTTGACGTTTCTAGTAAGTGTTTGATAATATTTAATTTGTATATCTTACAAATTTGGAAAGAGTAATGTTATTTATTTCATCATCATATAATATACTAATTTCAGTTTGGCAGCAAACTGTGTTTTTATGTTGGATTCTCTATGAAATTTTTAATTGTTAGTATTTAATTTTTATATTTTTATATTATACTAAAAGTTTATTTACTCAGTAAACTAAATTTATTAAAATAACTACTTTACCTATATGAAAATCCAATCACAGTTTCAATTTTTTTCAGTTTTATTATTAACTAATGATATTTAGCAATTCCTTGGACAAAGCTTTTCGATACGTGAAACAAATGTGTAAAGCCAATCAATGTGTGATTGTTGCCTTTTCCATGTTTTAGTCAACAATTCAACGATGTATAGGAAATATATAGATTGAATAATGTAAAACGTAATTGAATAATAAACCAAGTATGTGTATATATAAGGCTCAACCGAGGTCCACGTACAAGAGCTCGATTCAGAGGGGGTGCATAGATCCCTCACTGTCGGGGGGTTGGGCCCCACAGCAATTATTTAAAAAAAAAACTTCTTTCACATTTGGCAGGTGCCCTCCAGAAATATATTTTTCTGTAGTATTTGCTTTAAATTAGTTGAAAAATAAAATAAAAGGCAGAAAAAGAGAAACAAACTTTTTATTTCTATAATTTGTATTAATTAATATTCAGTGCTGATGTAGTTGAATTCGTATGCTAATTCTACACCATAACAACACGTATCTCATCGAGACTAGACCAGAATTCAACCTTGTTGTCTTCTGACCTAAAATAGGATAAGATTTTGGTGGGAATTTGACCATTTTTTGGGTTGAAATTTAATACTTACATCATTAATTTGAAATTTTTTAATTATACTAATGTTTATTCATTTCAAAATATGAATCATAAAGCATGGGCCCCATAGTTATATATGCTGAGGCATTCATCCAATAAAATAAAATTAAAAAAAAAAAAGGTGGGTTACTAGAAGCCGTGAATCTTCTGAGCAAATAAAATAAATTATTTTCTAAATTAAGTAATTATTAAGAAGTTGCATTTTCCTTTCTCTTCCAAAAACGTGTCAACTCAAACGAAGAATTGGAAATTTGTTTTCGAAGTGTTTGACTTGTGGGTTTTTTTCCATGGCGTCGACTAATTTGAATGTGTTAAACATTCCAGATGCATGGCTGCCTACAAGTATTAAAGTTGAAGAGTAAACTCGTTGCAAAGGCTATTTTTTCCTTCAATTAACCAAATTTTACCCTGAGAGCTTCACAAGCACATCTTCACTGGCCTAACGTTAAGACTACAACAGGGATTTCTTGTACATAGTTATCCCGGTGAGTTTTCGGGTTTTTTTTCTTTCTTCGTATATTTCCATGGCGTCGACTAATTTGAATGTGTTAAACATTCCAGATGCATGGCTGCCTACAAGTATTAAAGTTGAAGAGTAAACTCATTGCAAAGGCTATTTTTTCCTTCAATTAACCAAATTTTACCCTAAGAGCTTCACAGGAACATCTTCACTGGCCTAACATTAAAACTTCAACAGGGATTTCTTGTACATAGTTTTCCCGGTGAGTTTTCGGGTTTTTTTTTCTTTCTTTCTTCGTATGGCTAAACTGCATACTCAAAATAACGAATTACTTCACAGGTTAGAAAAATGCGTTACCCACCAAGCATAATTGCTATTTCCCAGGATAAACGACCCCACCAAGAATGAAGAAAATTTTGACCAAGGTTTTTATTACAATAGCATTGATACATGGTACTGGATTGGATGAGATTGTAAATTTTTCTTTCTTTCTTAGTCGCTTGTTCAATTAAACATACATCAAACCTTTTCTCTCTAATAATTTTATGGGGGAGAAATATTGCTGAAAAATAAATGAGAAAAAAAGGAGTCTATGCCTTCATCTGAGGCTTCCCCTACTTCATCATTTTTGTAAGACAATAATGCTTTTTGACAATATTATTTTTTTATGATATTTCTTTTAATAAAGCGATTGTTCTCTATTTTTTTTTTCCTAATATATATTTTCACTAGGTTTCTTTGCTAATAAAACTTTTAGAAACATTTCATTTTGATGGCTAGACTAAAATTTGCTACAATATGATCATTGCTGTTTCTCTATTTATTTAAATAACGGATAGCTTACTTTGCAATCTAAAGTGATCAAATTTGAAGAAAGCTTAGTATAGCGATCAACTTAAAACAAAATAATAGTAGGTGACGAACATAGATTTTATTCAAAATTGTTATGAAAAATGAGGATCGACAATATAAAAAATAAGAATAAGATTACAAGATTCACATGGAAATCCAAGATGAGAAAAAACTACGGGTAAAGAAGAATAATTCCTTATATCAAAAGGATTAATACAAAATGTGAAGTTGTTACAAACCAATGGTTAGCTGACATATATAATACAATGAAATCCCAATATAGTAGGCCTAATATATAATGAAGTGTTTGAAGTTATTTAGGAATGTAAAACATCGTAAAATCGCGACTAAGGTTTGGCAGGATACATTCGATGCTTGAGTGATCTTTTTCGCGGCTAGTGAGTGGACCATCCACTACTTGAATGCCCATGGAGTGGTTAGCAAGTCGTGACAGAGCCGAAAAATACGCACTAGTGCCTATGACGTGGATGACTAGCATTTCTACGTCGAACTATAATAAAATTTGGGTTACACTCTAACAAATCTCCATATTGACATGAAATTTTGATGCAAGAAATAACATTTCACCATTCAACAAAAAACCCTCTACCTCTTCCACGAAAGCTCCTACGGGCAAACTTAACAACAAATAACAACCAAGTCCAAGTAATGCTCAAACTTGAATACACGATGTAACACCCCAAGTCCAGAAGATTCTCTCTCTCTCTCTCTCTCTCTCTCTCTCCACACACACACACACGTGTATTCATCTGAGGGGCAGATCTTGAATACTATTTCATTTGTGATTGCAGGTATATAGTTTCTACATTGATGATTTCATTGAATTTGGTTGCTGTAATTGCTCTATTAGGTAATGCAGATTCCCTCAGTAACATACATATATAAGTTATGAAAGAAAAATCACAACATTTATCTTTCCATCTTTCTAATAAAATAAACTCTCTTACAATGCAGTGTTTGGAGCACTAAAATTTCGGAGGATTCTTTACATGTAAGTTATAATGTATGAGATCTTACATAGTTTCTTGTGAAGTTAAATGCACGAGTTTCTCATATATTTACCTAAACTCTTGCAGATTAATTGCACTATGCTGGATTCTCACTATCTTTTACTGGGTGTTCTTTGGGGTCTATTTCTTCCTTGGAAAGTATGCTTTATACTTGCCCTTCCTAAAAACATTACATCATTAAGAACAAATAAATTTGTACATACAGAGAATGTAAATACAGTCACAGAAACCTGATTAATTATATTTTGGTAATATTCCAGCTTTGCTGGAGACACATGCACAGCATTTGAAAGCTTCCAACAGGACCCCTACAACAACACCTTGAGCTCCATTCTTCCGTGTGACGAGTTGCTTTCAGCAGAACCAATCTTAACCGATGTTAGTGCCAGGGTTTACGACCTGGTGAACGAGGTAATACTCTATTTCATAAGGAAGAATGAAAATAGTTAATAAGGAAAAAAAATTGTATATCTAATAATGGTTGGAAAATCAATGCAGGTGAACAATAATATATCTTCATCATATGCAAACATTGTTCAAATTTGCAACCCTTTCTCGCCACCACCTGATTATGAATATCAGCCTGGAAGTTGTCTAGCCAGTTCAATTAAAATAGGAGACATCCCTCGGGTGAGCATAAGAAATAGAATGCTACTTTACCATAAAAACGTCTCAAACTTCAATATTTTGCATCTAGTTTTGTAACTAAATAGTCTTCCATTTTCTGAAGCTATTGAGAATGCTGACTTGTCCTGATTCGGAGGGTGAGACTTGCAATGGAGGGATCCTAATTCCAGCTCGTGAATTCAATACTATAGAGGCTTACACGTCTTCAATACAAGAGTTACTGGACGTTTATCCTGGTATGGAAAACTTAGTCGAGTGTCAAATGGTAAAGGATGCTTTTTCTAATATCCTTGACGACCACTGCAAACCCCTAAAGAGATACGCGAGAATGACTTGGGTATCATTGGTGCTTCTATCAGTGATAATGGTGGCTTTGGTACTTATATGGACAATTGAAGTACACCATGAGCAAGAACATCATTCTTTAGGTGGTTCTGTAAAACCCCACTCTACACCAGCAGATATGCCAGAATCTGAGACAATTAAAGAAGCTAACAATGACCAAATCCCGGTCTAGCCCTGTAAATAGCAATTCAGTTCCAGGACATTCATTAGCTCACCTTACGGAACATAATACATTCCAGAATCTCTTAAATAGATGGTAGAGATATGAAAGATAATTAGTCATAAGACACGATATGAAACATATCTCAGTAGAGTAATCAATAGCAAACATTTTTTTCCCTACAGCAAAGTCAGAGGATACAGTGATATTTGTAAATAGCCAAATGTGGGGAGAAACCCCTATAGCATGTAATAAAAATTTTCAGGCTAATGAAATTCATATTTATTGTTTTATTCCTCAGCAATATTGGGTAAGCTAAATAGCAACCTATACATAATAAACACATCGTATATGCAAGCAGAAGCTCACCGACAATGTAAAGAATTGGTTCAGCAAGCGTAGTCTTCACTCTCAAATTCTGTTCTTCCTTCTGCAACAATTCTCGTATATCTGACCCTTGTTTCACACCCGTTTATAATCCATCAAAACACTTTTTATCCATATATTTCCTGGGATCCACAAGTTCTCACTTATCTACCAGTCAATTCTGCCAATTATAGGAAAGTGAGTAGTGAGTAGTAAGAACCACTATTCTACCTGAGGAGGTTAGGTCTCTTACATAACATAAACAACTCCCCCAAACATGAAATTTTAATCATGACCAGGGAAAGCTCCATATAAGTTTATAATAGAGAAGGCAGATATCCTTGATGAAGCAAAATTTGGCAATGTCCAGGGACGTGCAAATTATACAAGTTAACCTCAGTCTAATCAGCAAACTTTCATAGAACATTATTTTAACCTTTACAGAACAAGGGGATGAAGATTAATGGGCATCCCGAATTAGTGCAGCCTATCAACAAGAGCTGATGACGCAATTATAGAAAATAACTTCAATTATAAAAATAAAAACTCCACGAGGCCCTTGATAACAAGCCATAAAACAGATTGCATTCTGATAACAAAGATGCCAAACAAGTGACAAACAAGTTTAGATTAAGCCTAGCTACAGAGGGTGTCACCTCACAAAACTAAAATTATGTAAATCTATGAGCGGAGTATCTCATACTAACATTTTGCCTAACATAACGTTCCATAACAAACTTGTCCAAAATACATTAACAGCAATGGGCTACAACACCAAGCATGATGGATCTTTTTGCAAATTGCCTTCATCCAAGAAAGATGACACGCGAGAGCTCTATGAACTTCAAGATGGGCAACCAAAAAGCTGAAGCATCATTAAATATTGCCTTCGTCCTGCAAGAAGGAAACAGCTGTAAGGCCACATGTGTAAGCTATAACAAAAGAAAATTGAGCCGGTGAATTAATTTATGCCAAGACAAGAATTATGTAACATAATTGTGTCAACAAAAGACACCCGAAAGCTTTGAAAACTAGAATTAGTATATACTTCGGTCAATAGTCAATCCTCTTCATTCTTAATCCACAGAGAGAGAGAGAAAGAGAGAGTCATATATTTTTGTGATAACTCAACTCAATTGCACACAAGATATCGAAATAATCCAGATATTAATAACATTTCTATCATTTTTAAAAATGGACAAATATATAAAGAAAAATAGCACCCACTCTATCATTATAGCATCAATTCCTCGAGCGTCACTTTTCAATATAATTTACGAAAAAAATGAAATACATACATCTGGTACAAAACAAACTGCCTTCACTGGCTGGATTAAGTAAATATTGAAGTGAAAGAAATTACTAATTTATACATAATGGGGACATACCTACAATCTACATATTTAATTTATTATAAGCATTCCTAGAGGAAAAAACATAGGGTAAGAGTTGAAAGACAAGTCAGGTTATTTTTACCAGTTTAAACTTATATTTTTGTAAGGTTTGTTGTTCATTGCTTTGAACTGATGAATTAAACTTTTTATATATTTTAAGTTACCATGGCTATGATTTGATCCAAAGATTTGGAAAGACGGATGTTGCAGGAATCCTATTACTCTTAGGAGTGACACTGTGACTTCGTTTTCGCAATTGTTAGGAGTAATCTAATTACATGCTTTTACTAGTAGCTTTAGGATTTTCATCATAAGATGTGATGAAGTTTAGTTGTTAGCTTACTGCAATCCTCTATCTAATTACATGCTTTTACTAGTGGCTTTAGGACTTACATCATAAGAAGTGATGAAGTTAATTGTTAACTTACTGCAATCCTCTATCATCCCCATCAAAAGAACAAAGTATTCATAAGATGAATCTGTCATCATATTAGAATTTATAACATAAGAAATGAGACCATACATTGACGAGTAGAGGTGACACCAACAGATGAGAAATTAGGAGAAAGATGACTTAAATGGTTGGGGGATATTTTGTGAAAACCTAAGGAAACTCAGTATACTGCAGAATGTTATTCCACTGGATGCTTGTCACATATTATCAGGTCAATCCTGGTTGTATGATAAGCACATGGGATGTTAAACAGCTCCACGATGCTTGTACTTTTCACACAGATGGAAAGAAGTTGATTTGCATCCTCCAAAGGAAGACGCAGCCATTAGCTCCAGGATAGTAAGGCCAATTATTTTCTTCCAGCAAAAGAAATTTGCCAAGTCAAAGAATCAATACTGCAAGTGGTAATTCAAGAAGGCATCCAAAAAAAACTTAACATACTAGGCCACAGTGAACCAGTTTGGTTTCCTGGTAGTGAAATCTATTATGGAAGTCAATTAACAATTTCATACAGTAATGAAAAAATATAGAGAAAATAACAAAATGTGGACATGGTTTTTATTGGTATAAAGAAAGGTACAGTTGGATATTTGTCGAAATCTTATTGTGGATGCTAGAGAGATGAAGAAAAAGGAATTTAAATTAGTACATAAGTACTAACAAGGACCCAAATGATGGCTAAAACGCGAGGAGAAAATCTGGTGGGGGAAGTAATAGAGAATTTTCCGTTGCTGCATCCAAGTTCAAAGTCTTTAATATTTATTTTATTCATGGACGAACTTATAAGACATATCTAAGATAAGAGTCCCTGACGTATGTTCAGTTGATATGACTAAGGGGACTAACTGTAAGTTAAATCTCCAGAGAAGACATCAGAATCAAAGGTTTAAGTTAAGTAATATTAAATGAAATACATAGTCCTTATAGGAATAACAATAATAGTAGATTCAGAATAAAGAATGGTGTTGTTCCAAAGGTTGGTTTATATGTTTAAGATCAATTATCAGTAAAAGACTAAGATAATGTGTAGACGATTTTCAAATTATTTAGTTAGTTTGTTGTGGTTTGTTATGTAGTTAGTTTCCTACTTTAGGGCTTGTTTAAATTTGAATAAGGGCTGTTTTATAACCCTGATTTATAGGGATTTATAGCCTTAGTTTTAGGGGGTTGTTATTCTTTCTTCTATATTTAAGAGGAGCCTTCTATGTAGAATAAAACTGAAAGAGCTAATAATTTAAAATCGGCCTAATACCTTCATGGTATCAAAGATGGAAACTCAGCACAGCACAGGCAATAATGACGAAATGGCAATGACTGGTGCTACAAGGACAGCATTGTCAGAGGCTACTTCTGAAGCGGCAACATCTCAGCCACTTCCTAAGCCTTCCACCAGCATTAACAATGTGAACAACTCTCTCCAAGTCACCCAAACAAAGCTCGATGGTCAAACTTTGTAGAGTGGTCTCAGTCTGCTCTATTGGTCATTGACGGAAAGGGATGAGGAGAGGCAGAATCTCCAGGCAAAGGGACCACTGAATTCAAGAAATGGAGATCGGAAAATTCTATGGTGAAGGCTTGGCTCATAAACTCCATGGAACCGGAGATTGGAAGAACCTACCTCTACTACAAGACAGCAAAGGAAATATTGGATATGATGGCCAAAACATACTCTGATGTTGGTAATACAGCTCAAATTTTTGAATTGAAAACTGCCCTAAGCGAGAAAAACCAAGGAGATAAATCAATAACTCAATAATATAATGAATTGATGGGCCTATGGCAAGAGCTCGGTCTCTTTCTGGAACTTGACTGGAATACAAGAAAATGATGGATAAGGAGAGAGTGTTCGATTTTCTTTATGGACTAAATAAAGATTTCGATGAAGTTAGGGGGAGAGTCCTTGGATTTAAGCCATTTCCCGAAGTGAAGGAGGCGTTTGCAATGGTCTGACGAGAAGAGAGTAGGAAACGGTTTATGCTTGGAAAAGGAAAGGGGTCAAATCAACCTGACCCTCTACAATCAGAATCGGCTATGTTCACAAAACGGCACTACAATCAAAACAATGGTACTTGGACAGGGCACAGAAATAGCAGGCCATGGTGTGAGCACTGCAAGCGACTCAAGCATACTAAGGACACATGCTGGGAGATTCACAGCAAACCACCTCATTTCAAGCAATCTGACTCGAGCTGGAGAGCAAAGAGACAAAGAGAAAATAGAGGCCTTTTGACGTCTATAGAGGAAGAAAATGGGGCTAAAAATTCTGAATCTGGCCTTTGGTTCACTAAATATCAACTTGAGCAGCTAAAGGCAATTTTTATTGCACCTCCATCAACCTCAGTTCAGCCAACAGCATCTGTTGCCCAAAAAGGTCATTTTTCCTCCGCCTTATCAGCCAAAACTGAAACCTCAAACTTCTAGGTCATTGACTCAAGGGCGTCAGACCATATGACCAGCTATTTAAATCAGTTTCTCACCTATTCACACCTGTAGCTGGAATTGGTTCCATTAAATTGTCTCCCACTTTAACTCTTCACTCTGTTCTTCATGTTCCCACCTTATCTTGTAATTTACTTCCCATTAGCAAATTAACAAAAGATTGGAATTGTGTTGCTAAGTTCTTTCATTCTGGCTGTCAGTTTTAGGATTTGCTTTCGAGGAAAATGATTGGCAGTGCTAAGAAGAGCAATGGTTTATACTTGTTTGAGTGCAATGGACACGTCACAAATAAACAAACTCAAGCACTATAAAGTGAAGCTGTTTCCAAATTGAATTCTAGTTCTAATAAAGTTATGTTATGGCATAATAAGCTAGGTCATCCAAGTTTTCCATATCTAAAATGTTTGTTTCCGTCATTCTTTATCAATGAAAATCTTGAATCATTTGTTTGTGAAATGTATCAATTTGCTAAACATACTCGTATTTCCTATCATTTTCAACCATACAAACCATCAAATCCGTTCATTCTAATTCATAGTGATATTTAGGGACCATTTCGCATAAACAATATTTCCGGTGCACGCTGGTTCATCACCTTCACGGATGATCACACTCGTATTTGTTAGGTTTTCCTTCTCAAAGATAAATCTAAAACCGCTACAATTTTCTAAAACTTCTACTATATGATTATTACCTAATTCCAAACTAAAATCCAAATCCTACAAACTGATAACGAACGAGAATATTTCAACTTTGTTCTCTGTCTCTTCCTTATTAATCATAGAATTATCTACCAAAGTTCTTGTGTTGGAACCCCCAACGAAATGGTATAGCCGAAAGAAAAAAACCGTCATCTTCTTGAAATTGCCGTGCAATCATGTTAACAAACAATGTTCCAAAAAATTTCTAGGGTGAAACCGTCCTTACAACCTCCTATCTAACCAACCATCTCCCTTCCAAGACTCTTCATTACAAAACACCTATCCAACTCCACCTCGACCAGTTTCCCCACTATCATTGCCTTCCGATCTTCCCATTAAAACATTTTGGTGCTCTGTTTTTGTCCACTCTTCCCATCCAAATCAAAGCAAACTTGATCCCGTGCTATTAAGTGTAAGTTATTCCCCAAATCAAAAAAGGTTACAAATGCTATAATCCAGAAACAAAAAAGTTACCTGTTACTTGCAATGTCACCTTCCTTGAACATCTTTCTTACTATCCAAAATCTGTCCTTCAAGGGGAGAACTCGAGTAAAGGACAACAAATCTACCCTTTCTCAAATCCAAGCCCTCTAAGTCTTCCAAAACTCTCAAATAGTCTTCCAAATCTCCCAAATCCAAGCCTACCCACCTTACCTATTGTGCCAGAAATAGTTGAACTAGAAACAAGGAAAGATTCACCTAAAGAGGAAAAAAAACAACCGAGTTACGTGTTTATTCTAGATGTGTCCAAGCTCCTACGGATGTATCTACCATTATTCCCCAGACTCACTATCAAGAGTCCGAGCCAAAGGTGAACACTCCAGATTAATAGATTGATAGCAACTAAAACATATCGATTGCTCTAGGAAAAGGCACACGAGCTTGTACCCTTTGCCAATGACCTCTTCTATACCAAACTATCACTAGCATTCTGAGCATTGACAGAAAAAGTATCCAATGACAAAATTCCAAAGACAATTCATGAAGACCTTAGCCATCTTGAATGGAGAAAAATTGTCGAGGAAGAGATGTATGCCTTGAGGAAGAATGGAACATGGGAAGTAGTTGACTTACTAGATGGAAAAAGTCCAGTAGGGTGTAAATGGGTATTCACTATCAAGTATAGGTCAGACGACAATGTTGAGAGGTACAAAGCTCGACTGATTGCAAAAGGATTTACACAAACACTTGGAGTAGATTATACTGCGACATTTGCACCAGTTGCAAAGCTCAACATCGTCAGAATTCTATTATAATTAGCAGTTAATCTGAATTGGCCACTTCACGAAATGGACGTAAAAAAATCTTACCTGAATGGTACATTAGAAGAAGTATATATGAATGTACCTCCAAGGTTTGAAGAAATTTACAGAAAAACTCGCAAGTTGATGAAATCACTCTATGGTCTGAAACAATCACCACGAGCATGGTTTGAGAGATTCGCCAAATCCATCAAGAAATATGGATTCACCTAAGGCCAAGCAAATCATACAATATTTTTCAAACATTCACTATTCTAATAGTATACATGGATGATATTGAAGAACCTAAACAATTGAAGACCGGTAGGAAAATTAATTTATCTTTCCACACAAGACCGGATATTGCATTTGCAGTTAGCATTGCAAGTGAATTTATGCATGACCCATATGAGGAACACCTTGAAGTAGTCTATTGGATTCGCACCTCGAAAGGGACTGTGTTTTAAAAAGAATGAGGAACGAAGTGTGGAGACATTTATTGATGCAAATTGGGCAGGTTCGGTTGATGATAAAAGGTCAAAGTCTGGGTATTGCACAAAGATTTGGGGAAATACGGTTACATGGCATAGCAAGAAATAGGCCGTGGTAGCTCAAAGTAGCGCAGAGGCAAAATACATGGCCGTCGCTCAAGAAACATGTGAATTAATTTGGATTAAGAGATTATTGGATGAGTTGAAGATGAACGGTTCGGAGCCCATGAAGCTCTAATGTGATAATCAAGCTGCATTTAATATTGCTCATAATCCAGTCCATCATAATCGAACAAAACATGTAGAAGTGGATCGACGCTTTATTAAAGAAAGAATCAAAGAAGGAGTAATCACTATGACCTATGTTCCTTCAAATCAAGAAGTTGTAAATATTCTAACTAAAGGTTTACCGAGGCAACAATTTAAAGATATTGTAAACAAGTTGGGAATGATCAACATCTATTTATCAACTTCGGGGGGAGTGTAGACGATCCTCAAATTATTTAGTTAGTTTGATTGTTGAGTTTGTTATGTAGTTTCCTATTTTAGTGCTTGTTTAAATTTGAATAAGGGCTGTTTTTTATCCCTAATTTATAGGGATTTATAGCCTTAGTTTTAGGGGGTTGTTATTCTTTCTTCTCTATTTAAGAGAAGCCTTCTAAGTTGAATAAAATTGAGAGAGCTGATAATTTAAAATCAGCCTAATACCTTTGTAATGCATATACTGAAATGGGTAGGACGAAATGGAGAACTACAATAGGGATTCTATGTGATTCAAAGATACCAATCAAGTAAAAAATGGAAGTTCTACATAATGTTTATTAGACAAGCTATGCCATAATAAGAGTATATTGAATAAAATTTCCATAAATTGAATATAGCAAAAATAATGATTTTGAGATGGGGGTTTGGTAATACTAGAATGAATAAAATAAAAATTATGACATAAGTCAACAAATGGAGGCATCGCCATATGAAACGGAACTTATATGATTAAGACATTTCTATCATAGTCTTAAAAGAACTTTCATTCATGAATCATGACAGCATTGTTGTCTTATTAGAATAGACAGATGAGAGGTGGATCAAAAACACTTCAGATTATCGTATAGATAACAACAGAAATTTTGTTTACCGTTATACGATGAAATATCAATTAATTCTACACTATATTAAATAATAGTTACATTTTATGTTTCCACTAGACTAATTTTACATTCATTATCTAGAAACCAATAGAGACAGTCCTAGCAGAGAATAATATTTGATTTCACAAAAATTACAACTTAACACCCACTAATCTCTGCCATTATCTTTTCTCCAAATATAGTAAAACAAATGTCCAGGGTGATAAGTGTCTCGTTAAGTATTTTTTGATTTTTTAATTTATTTTTGTAATATATAACTGTTCATTAAGAAGGCGACAACACAAATATTAGATACCATTTTACACTACTCAATTTTTGAAACTCGATACTAGACAAGGAAGATTCATCAGTTTGCCTAAAACTACTGTAATGAAAAAACTCTGAAGGGTAGCTCAGTGGTCAGGTCTTGAGTTTGTTCTCCAATGGTTAACAGTTCGAATCTCCTTAGAACCACTGAAGTGAGTACCTGATTGTAAATTTTAGGGTCCCATGGGCTTAATCGAAGTGCACGTAAGCTGATCCGGACACCCACAGTTATTAAAAAAAAAAAACAGCTTCAATGTAAATTATGTGAAAAGGATGACAAATTCACAATATGGAAGAAAAAAAAATGAATAAAAATAACACATTGCATTTTCATTAAATATAAAACAGCATTGCTTTGAATCTTTTGTGTTGTTTTCCATTGACTTTCTTCATTGGCATGCTTATGCGTTAATGATAGGTAGAAGTGTAGGTTTAAAGGAACTCTGGAATATCACTTCTCAATCCATTAGTTTGGGACCTTATCACTTTTTATTTTTATTAGATAAAGCTTCAAGTTTGCAATTATTCTTCAATTCAGTCACAATATGTCTTACTTTCCACTATGTGACATCACATATGAGATGTTCATTTCCACGCGTGCACACACAAACCCCCAAAAAAAAAAAAAAAAAAAAAAAAAAAAAAAAAAAAAAAAAAAAAAAGGAGTAAAAAGAAAGCAATATCTTCATAGTTCTTAAATACAGTTTTTATGTGGGACCATAATAAGCACATTTCAACAAATTAAAGGTAGAGACAAGTCACAATTGATGTTCTCCCAGTGGGATGTATAATGTGGGAAAAACAGAACACGTGTTTTTAACTTCTACATGAATTATCATTCAAGTAGAGCTAGAGAATTCCAGTCCATAGAGGAAACTATTACATGAACCCATTATAAAGATTCGAGACAGACTCTAGAATCTCTCATAATCACATTGTTTAGCACAGGGATTAAAATGCAACAACAATCCTAAGCAATTGTTACATCTATGATCTATCCATAATTCAGTATTGCTGATCGTGGTGATATTGTGGAATGATAATGATTATACTCAAGTCCTGGGACAACAATATCAGAATATGATCAATACGACCGTGAGCAGGTGAAGATAAGTTGGTTAAAAAAGAGCAAAAAGATTGTAATTCATCAAAAACAATGCATAAAAGCCATAATTAATAAGTTATATATTGTATATATCCATGCAAACTATTAACCAAAACTGTAATTTTCTACCAAGTTTTGGAAATCATGATCTGAACATAAAACATGTAACCGACAAAAAATTGCAGCTATTTCTTGACCATCTATCGGTAACACCAAACACAACCATAAATAATTTTCACGCCACAAAATGGAAGAAAAAAATAATGCTCACTGCAATTCGAGATGCTAATTCATATAATGATGTGTGAATCACTGCATTTTACTACAAGTCTGCCTTCAATTCCACTTTGTAACATACCAATAAATTTTTCCCGAACAAAACTTGAATTTTGATTTCCCACTATTGGTATTGGGGGTTCCATGTCAACCTTCAAGATAAGCAGCCCTTATTCATTAGTTATTATTATCTTGGATTCCATCTTAAAAAGATCAAACCTAGTTAAAGCAGAGTAGCCAAAGGCCCCAAGCCCTTCTCAAAATTCCCAATTCTTCAAAAACAAAAAGGACCAAAAATATTATAAAATTTTCAGAAATAATTGTAACATGAAGGAAAAAACCGTACCGGTTGCGGAGGGTGTTTATGAGGAAGAAGGGATTCCAGATTGGAAACTCGGGTATCTAAAGAACTAAATTTCTCATTCAACTGCAGCCATAAAAAAGAAGAAATTCATAAAAACTTTTATAAATAAATACAATTCATAAGCATATATGTTGAATTTATACAATATTACCTGGGAAGAGATGCATTTGCGATCAATCCAGAGATCTTTGAAAACAAAGTGAGTCATTACTGCAGAGGTGGAGGCAAACCCCAGTGAGAACCATAACAATCTTGTTCTCATCATTTTTCTTTACTTTTTCGTGTTCCTTTTCCCTGATCTCTGTGTTTTGCAGAGACTGCTTGCGAGTCGGGCGTTATCCAGTCCCGATTGGAATTTGCGGACGAACATTGAACCGGGATTTCCGGTCCTGTCGAACCAGTCCGGACGGCTTTCTTAGCCCATGTTTAAACCACATTCTAGAAAAAAATACATTATTCATGTCAAATTAATGGGAAACGTATTATTAAAAAATAAAAAAAAAATTTATATTTACGTGTAATATTATTTTATTGAAAAATGTGTGATTGAAATAATATCAAATCACTGTTGAATAATATATAAATTTTTTAAATAATATGGCTTAAACAAACCTTTAACTTTTAAAAAAGAAAAGGGTAAATTACTTTTAACCTTTGTTAAAAATATTCAATCTTTAAAAGTTTAGATCCTTAATCTATTATGAATTGATTTTTACATGATAAAAATGATCAATTTAAACGTTAAAAAGTCATACGAATTTCGATGAAATAGAAATAAATATTAACTGATTTGACAATTTTGACTTTAATTGTGAGTCATGTGAAATCATATGATTTTAACGTCAACACTGATAGTGCAATTATTTGGGAACCTAAACTCACCAATTTGAAATAGGATGAAAATCTAAAACCTCAAATTTGAAAATTGAAGACCTAAAATCACACTGAAGGTTAAAGGGCAAAACTTTAATTTATGCAAAAGAAAAGGAATAATTTTAGATAGGATCACAATTTTAGTTGTTACTCAATCACTAACCTTTCATTTTAAAAGAAAGTTCTCAATATTTGTTAATTGTTAAATTTGTCACCAACTTTTGTCATTGCAATTCTTATATTTAACATTCAATTAATTGGCACATTGTCCATAAAGATACTTTTTATCTTAATGTATTTTGAAATGGGAACTAATATCTTGTTTAATTTTGGTATTCAAATTTTTATTTTACTCATTTAAAAATATGTGAGACGAATAAATCTTTTCATAACATCAAACAAATTTTTGGACAAAAATCATCATCAGAGACAATGTGTGATAGTAAATCAAATGGTCGATGAAAAATATGATGAAAAAAGTTAAAATTATAAATACCACAATAAACGAAGATTAAGAACACTTATTAAAATTAAGGATTATACTATTTGTACATAAAAATGTACATAAAGGATTATATAAAGGGAAGAATTCACAAATCAGACTTTAAGTATGCCTAATTTAAAAATCAAGTTACATGTTTCATTAATGCAAAAATCATGTTTTCATTAATTAATTAAAATTATTTATTAAATAATGATAATAAAATCATAGTTATACGATTAATGGTCACAGATTCACAATTTCAAGTCACGAATTTATTTACTAGTACCATATCATCAAATTAATTGGTCACAGATTTGTTCAAGGTCACAAATCAAAATTTTGTACGTCCCAATTTATTTCATTGGCCACAAATTCAAAAATTACAAGTCACAGATTATTTCGAGATCAAATTACTTGGTCATGGATTATTAAATTTTTTGGTCACACTAAATAGTTGATCACAGATGACTAAATAGTTGGTCACGTACGCCAATTTCTTAGTCACAAACAATCAAATCATATGTGCCCACCACCAATGCCTGTGACCACCACCCATCTCACAACATCAATCTCCAGCACCACCACACAAATCAGCACACATACCATCACCTGCATCAATGACCATCACCACCACCCACATTGTACCTACTACAACCACCAACACAGCCATGGCCAAGATCTGCAAATACAACCAACAAAATCCCAAAATCATTACCTACGGATCGGAAAGAGAAAGAGATAACTCCCAAAAACCCCAAGCCCCCTTCAAACACAGGCTCCAGTCACGGTTCGAACCTGCAAGCATCGCGTACTTTTGTCACCGTTTATAGCATCACCGTTTGCATCAATTGCCGTTCGCAGTGGAGACACCGTTGGAATCTACAGATCGAAAGGAGAGAGCTAACTCCTAAAAAAACCCCCAAACCCCTTTCCAACACCAGCACCAGTCGCCATTCGATCATGCAAGGTCGAATACTTTTGTCACCGTTCACAATGTCGCCATTCGCAGCAACGACGCTGTTGGAATCAACTTCGGCCAGCGTCGAAGAAAGATAAGGGAAAGATGGGTGTAATACTCTGAAATTTTATGCACGTTTAATTTGCTCATTTAATTTTTAGGGTAGCAATTTAACTTTTCAAAAATTTAGTATGGCCAAGATTATTAATGGTTGCTAAATTTGCATTGGTCGATTTATTAGAAGTTTACCAAGATTAGTTAATTAGGGGTTTAGAATAATTGTCAAATTCTATACCTTTTACATTAATATATTTTCCCTTTGTTTCTATCACTTTGCCGCCACCTTGTAGAGGATTAATGCAATTAACTAATGCATGGACAAGTGGGAATACAAATTAAACCATTTCTCTCATTTTTTATATACACACATATGCAATATACATATATAAATGCAGCTGGACGGCAGGTTAGAGAAGAATTCAAGTAAGATTTAACTAATGCATGCATGGGGTGTTAATTGTTGAACAAGTAGGAGGTGTCAAGCTATCTTTGTAGTAATACGCATGCATGAGGTGGTTTAAGCAGGTAGGAGGTGTTAAATTAAGGCACAACCTGACCTTAGGTGTTGAGTTAAGTTTATGAAATACATGCATGCAACCACGTGTAGATGTAGGCACCAATTTTGGTTAATTATCTTCACTTTGCTTCTATATATGTATAACCGAGAGATAAGCAGCCTATATATCTTTGCAAAGTCAGAATTTTTATGGAGAGATAAAGAGAAAATCGGCAGGAAGAAAGGAAGAAAAAAAAAAGAAAAGGAAAGGAAGAAAAAGGAAAACAAAGCCTACACTCTCAAGTTTTTGTTTTTCAACCGAAGTTTCTCCAAGTTTTATTGTAAGATACTTTCTTTGCTTAAATGGTAGGATTTCATGGTAATATTTATGCCTAAGCTATGCATGAAAAACCATAATATGAATGTGTGGACAAGTCCACAAAGTTAGATATCTATGCCTTAGGACAAGTCCGAAGGGCACCGGCAAGCCGGAATGTGCAAGTATGTGTTTGATTGCATTCTTTTGTGTAATATTAACATGTTAAATCCAAGTATGGTATCTTACTGAGTATTCTTTATACTCATAGTATCCTATACTAAATTTTCAGATCCATAGATGTGAAGTTGGTGGAAATCAGTCGGCATAATCGATGATGGATTAAGGACGAAGGTTATTTTGCATCGAAGTATTGTTTTTGCATGTTTGTTCGACTGCTCTCCAAATGTTTTTCTTATGGTGTTGTATAAAAACTTGTATAAGACATGATCTACTATGGTACTGGAAGTAAATTATGTAATTATATCTTCCATGTTATGTTAAGAGACGTTTTTATAAACCTTTTTCTTGAATGATAAAAAAAGGGCAGAATCCGGGCAGTTTCTGGGTCATCTTCAAAACATTATTTCTAACTCTATAGACATCCATTTGAGAATATAAAAATACTTCTGCATTCATCTTTGAGTTGTCTAAATATGGACGCAAGAATCACTCAATTTGGATGTCCGTGGCCTGAGATATGAATTTTTAAACGTTGAAGAGTCAATCTGGATTTTCTGTGCAATACTACACTGTTTTCAGTAAAACGTCCATACTATATGATCTCGGAAAATTCTCATATTTAAACCTAGGAAACTACTTGAAATTATCTTTCTAATGCCACAAATTTCATAGAAAACGGAGTTGGGATGAATTTTATAAAAATAGTTGAACTTGCTGCCCTAACTAACTGTGGCAGTACCGAGTCCTTTTTTTGTAAAGTTTAATTCCACGTCGACATGCACTTCTGCTGGCCATTAAATTTCATGAGAGATATTTTACCAAATTGAAAATAGTTTTTTAACATGTAATACTTCTATTTAAGAGTATTTACATGTACCAAAGGCAAAAGTTACTATGTTTAGTACGTGACCCCCGAAGCCTAAGTTCGGGGCGTCACAATGGGGATGAGGAAATGTCTTATAGTGGGGTGGGTTAAATGATCAATTTGGAGGGTGGAGATATTATATCAAAACCTGAATTATGCATAAAAAAACTTTCCTACCTAACATTTGCACTGTGATCTTCAAACACTTGGAACCGTGTAATTTCCACTTACGTAAAATGAAGTTGAGGGAAAAGATTGGATGAAAATAGTTGATTGTATTTTAAACTGGCAAATGATAGCATGACACGTGGCATAATGTAATCCATTATGTAAAACTTAATGTACATATAGTAAAGTCCTAAAATTAAAATGCATTTTAACCTTTCATTTTTCCCTCTCATCACTTCTATTTGCACTAGTGTAATACATAAATTCTCAAAGACATTTGAGCCTACGATGCACAGAATCGTGCCTAATGTGTAGTTAAGTAGAAGAATTTGAACTTGACCAAAATTCCACCTAATGTGGATATTCCATTATTTGTTTGGAATGATATTGATTCAGATGGCTGCTCTTCCACTCTATTCATTATTTATTCATGCAAGAAAAGAAGGCAATACCAAGAATAGAAAGAAATTCAAAAAGAGAAAACATCGAAGAAAAGTATGAATAGAAGAGAAGAAGACATGCCTAGGAAGCTATCGAATTGTGTCCAAGATTGGGACAAAGAGCTTTCATTCTTCCAAGATATTCAGAGATGCAAAAAAGATGAAATTATTAGTCTTCGAACATTTCTAATGAATTTGAAGCAAATGATAAGTCTAAAGTGGATAGAGGATTGAGAATTGATTTTAAAACAGGCTTGTAAGCGGGACATGCCCAAAGTACTTATAAATCCACACTACAAATCTTTTACAACCATCAAATTGTAAGTGTTATGTCCTAGGTATAATCAACTTTAAATATAAACACTTTTAATATATAATTGATGCAATTTTATTGTAGATTTATTATTTAATTAATATTCAATTAGATGATAGAGTCTGTAGATTCAAATCTCAGTAATTTATTAATCACAAAAAGTTGTTGGTGTGAGATGCAAGTTACATATGACTGAATCTTAAATCATATGTG